CATCTTCGGCCATCACCAAACTAACGAGCGCTCGACCCAGGCAAGCCTTAGCATATTTGAACTTGTATGCACTCGCTAGTGAAGACACACCGATCTCGGATCTCGGATCCCATGCCATCATAGGGACCCGAGCAGCATCAATAACATGGGCAGGCAGTTCGACTGTACTCGAGATCTCAGGAATCTCAACCGATTCAAAAGTCGAGAACCACTTCTCGACCGATTCCCGAGGCTGCCTGAAGTTCAGGAACCTCTCCTCATCCATCGGCAAGAAAGATCGATCAATGATAGGTTCCTTCTTCTTCTCGCGATCACCGCCATCATGCTTCTTTTTTCTCCGCTCCTCGGCTACTGGAATACTTTCAGCTTGTCTCTTTTTCGACCGAGTAACAGGCACTTCAGCACGCTCAGCGGTAACTTCATGGCCCTCTTCAGGCTCATCAGAAGCCAAATCAATCACTGGCGGATTTTCCACTGGAGTAACTTCAATCACCGGTCCAACTTCAGACGCGGCAGCAGTAGCAGCAGCAATGGCGGCCATCGGACCTTCTGCTGCAATAGTCAGAGGATTCGGCTGCGGAACAACAATTGCAGCCGCTGACGTCGCACCATCACCAATGTCGGTTTTCGGTGGATTCATAATCGGGTTCTCCAGGTAAGCCTTAACCAACTTCTTACGACCCATTTCTGTCAGACGCAACTCCTTGTTCTTTCCGACTTTAGTTCGAAGCTCCAAATTCGGACTCCTTTGACGGAAAGCTCTAGCGTCACGGGTGGTCTTGAAACCGAGAACCCCAATGAGCGGATAATAAACTGCAAAGACAAAATCAGTTATTATTAATCCCGAAAAACAACCGACTTCAAATAAGATGAACAAGAAATTTATTCAAGTTACCAGGTTGGAACGAACTATCAGAAATTTCGGGACAGAGACCAGCAGCTTTCAGTCTTGTGTTCTTCAAAATCAACTTAAAGCTACGCTGAGTCTTCTTCAACTTGAACAACTCGGTGATCCTCTCCTTTAAAACCGAACCGAGTTTTGATCCCTTGCTTTTGGCTGCAAATAATAAGACCTGTTAGTACAAAAATGAACAAGGTCAGAGCAACTCAGAAAAACAAAGACGAACAAGAAACTTACAAACTGCAGAATTAATATTGATGGGGATTGTCATTCCATCAATTAAGGGTTTCGAAAATTTTTGAGTCTGCCAGTCTCCTCCGACCCAAAGCCACTCTTCTTGAAATCCATGGAGCGACTCAGGAATGTCGGCAATCAAATCACCGATCTTCAACCCCTCTTGAGGCCTACCCGCACAGGCGTAGCAAATCAGTGGGTCGGCAACCTGTCTGTCGGTACATCGCCGAAATGAAAACAAACTCCTAATCTCCTCAACAGTCGGCATTTCCCAACCCTTCTCCTTCAATAGCACCATAAGACCGATTATTCTTTTCCATGAATTTGGTGCTATCTGACACAGACCAATTCCCCAATTCCTTAAGTAGTCTGTGATTAAAGCGGGGAGGGGAAACCGAAGTCCAGACCTCAGCGAATCAGCAAATACACCAACACAACCTGGAGGCGGACACGTAATCCTCTCGCCTGGATATGGCGCGAACAGTTTAACCGACGAGGGAATATAAACCTCCTCACGAAGAATCACGATGTCGGCATCGGTAAGAATGCTCGGTTCACCACGATATTCATCAATTGGTTCCGGCCATCGCCGAGCTGGACGTCTCCAATAGTCGGGAAGCGACATCGCGTCTTCTTCAACCTTCTGGTCTATCTCGACGATGTCTCTATTTAGATTCAATCGTTTAACTAATAAAGGATCCCACCGATAATACTCCAGAGGTAATTCTAAATCCTCATCAGTAAGGATCGGAATGTCCGAAATCGTTCGGCTACTGCTATTTTCGGTTTGCGCAGACATCTCGAAATCGATGAAAACAAAAATTCGAAACAAAATACGAAAACAAGAAAGATTAGGGCAAACTCTTACCGAAACTTTCGAAGAACTCTGAACTGACGAAAAGATCACAGAAAAAAAAGGCGAGTGCGCAAGAAAAGTACGTAAAGAAAAGATTGCTGAAAGAACGCAAGTAAAATCGAAGAAGTTAAAGGTACAGAAACTCTTTGCGCCCCAAAACCGACTTCAATTTATAGGTTTTGATTTATGACCGTTAGAAGCATCCGGAAACGGCGCGTGTAACGGACGCATCTTCAAGGGACATAACGTTACAGTAATTATTATTCTACGTGGCCATACCCTGAAACGCCATGTCGTTACAAAATTGTATCCGTTGGGCCCATTTAATGCGGACACGTCTTTTAAGAGCCGCCATGTCAGATTAAATATCGTAAAGTATCAAGCGGAGCAAAGTGTTCTCATGTCGGTAAATAACGCAAAACAAGTCGGAATAAGGTGAAACAACAAACGACATCAGCAATCATTTAAAAAGCTTCAAATACTTACTGATGTCGGGGGCCCCATTGTTGATATCAAATTCAGTAATCAGAATTAAAGTATCGCAAGTCGGAATATATTAGAGCAAATTACCGACTTCTTAAAGAATTGCCGATTTCCGAAAGGTCCAACTTCCGACAAAACCTTCAAAAGGATCAAAACCGACATCTGAAATCAGCGTGAGTAAAACCGACTTCAAGTCAACCGACTACCATAAAGATTGAGCATTCCAAACAAAAAGTAATCATTAGAAGCATCTGATTGGACCAACGAAACAAAAAGGCAATCATTGATGTTTCCCGCCGCCTCAAAACAAAGCAGCTCAATATTAAATGCATCTCTATCCATTTCGAGGAAGGAGACAAAAGCCACCGTACTATAAATAGCAGAATTTATGATAGTACGAGGGTCTGATCTTTTCTCAAACACATTGTACACGCACTTAAGACAAACTCGGTTTTTAGCTTAAAACCGACTTCTGTACTCTTGTGAGCAAAATCAATAAAACTTAAATAAAAATTTATCCTCATTTTCTTGACATCAACTGTACTTAATTCTAAGTTGTTAATTCAAGACAGCAACAATATAATAATGATTAATTTTTAATTTAAATATTAAATTGAAAAATGTGTATAGAAAAATAGACGGAACAATAAAAGGAATGAGTTGTGTATTATCAGAAAGTATATGGAGCCATCGAATGGCTCCATAGCAAAATTGTGTGTATTATTTGATTGATTGATGAATTAATGAGATTAAATGTGCACTGACCCATTGGTTGAAAAGGAAAAATATTGTATTAAAGTTAAATATTTTTTTAAAAAAATAACTTTTTGAAAAATTATTTGACCAAAGTAATATCAATCAATATTCAATATAATTGCTAGCAACAGATTTAATAAAGTTGTTCAAGTTTTTTTCTCTATTTTTCGTTACTTTTGCATTAATTAAGTATATATATTTTTTTATTTATTTTATTATATAACATCTACTATTAACAAATCATAAAGTCACATTAAATGATACTCTAATCTATTTTTTATTCAAACCGTTTATTTAAAACTGTTATTTCTTTTTTTTTTAACTCATTATGCAAGTTTTTTATGATATAACCAAACCTTTTATAATTTCGTACACAATTGGTATATTAATAATTTCAAATTTATTTTATGTAAACAATTGTTCGTAATCAACAAGCACAAATTATATTATTGCAATCGATATAAAGATTAATATGTAAGTTAATAGTTTATATTTATATCGTTCATTTTTACTAATGATAAAATTTATAAAATGTGATATGTTCAATTCTAACTTATAGTTTTAAATATTACATACACACACATGTAACATATAAACTTTTATTTGCATTTGTGTATATACACAGAATCAAATACTAGTTATGGTAAAACTATTGCTATCACATACTTGTATCAGTAGTATGTAGTTTAATCCAATTTTTATATTATTTCATTTTTATATGAAATCACATTCTTTTGATATACAAATTTATTAAACCATTCATATGATATCTATTCTTCTTTTTTACCATCTAAACAAAATGATTTTTTTGTAAACAAAATTGAATTAAAACCAGCCTAATTTTACACAATACAATACGGGTTTCCAGATATAACTTATAATTGTCATTTGATTAATATCAATTAGAATTTGAACATTTAAGTGATTTTTTTCCACAAAAAAACGTGTTACAGTTGTAGTTGAAAACTTTATCATTTTGTTTGCCAAAAAAAAAAAAATCCCGACCTAACTTTTGCCTTAGAAAATGCACATTACAGATCTATTGAGCAGAGTACAACAATATTAGGTTTGTCGATTGATTCAATTTCAACCACCAGAGCAAATCATATATTCACAAGAACTAACAGGTTGGTCATGTCTCACGTGTTAGACCGTAAGGCCAACACACTCTTATTTGTAAATGTGCGAAAATATAACGCAAACAAAAATATGAAATCTGATAATTGAAATATGCATTTTTCCTTTTTTCAAATAATATGGCTTAGTTAACGGTTTTACTGTCACACAAGAATTTGTGATAATCACAACAGAAAACCCCATTTCCAACCCAAAATGACCCGAGAGAAGCAGCATCAACACAGACAAAGGTATGGTTGGTTACAAGTTACAACAGTGAGTGTAGAATCTGATAGTATAAGGAAAAACCGAGTCAGCATAACGACGTAACAACCCAAAATCCATGAACAATCTCAGTTATACATACATACATACATACATACGTACAAGGGATAGAAGAAAACACAGAGAGATTGTGATTACAGACAAGTCAAATGCTACTTTCTACTTGGGATAATATAAACTTACAGCCTTACGGGTTTTCTTGTTGGATGAGAAGAAACCCACAGGAAAATCTCACCACTCGCTCGCAATGTGAAGCTTCCTTCTTTGAAGAAAAAGGTTCTTTCCGGCTNTTTTCTTCCCTCTCAGACGTATCTCAAGGGGCGCATTTGTAATTCTCAAAACAACCGTGGAATTCTTTGTAATTAATTATTACTTCATGCCTGATCCAGAAGGAAGACTCGAGTCGAAACTCCCAGGAACAAAAATCGGAAGCTGGTTCGAGACAGAATCCCTCTTGAACCTCGACTCCCTCGGCAAACCCATCAAGAACCTATCCATCCCATCTCTCGAGCTAGACGCCCCTTCACTTCTTGGCCCACCCAAAAGCGGGCCCCCAAAAAAGATCGACTCCCCTGTGTACATCAGTTTATCCGACTGTTTCGTCCCAGAAGAAGCCTTATTACCACCACCACCACCATCTTGATTGCCCGCGGAGGGTAAAATCGTCTTTTTACGAGCCTCAGCAGCAGCAGCAGTAACCGGAACCGACACGTACCGCCCGGCTTCCTGATCCCAAACGACCGACGTTCTCTTCACGTCCCGAATTAACGAGGCCGCCTGAACAGTGGGGCCCACGAGCAGAGGTTGGTCTGCAATGCTATTATTATTATTATTATTATTATTCCTCTGCTCGACCCCCGATCTATTTCTGACCCCCAAAACTGAGCTACTATTCATCAGCGGTTGATTCGAATTCCAGCCATGAGGCTGGGGAAGCGGGCTCAGTGTGACCGACTCGTGACCACGGGCCGGGCTGCTGAAGCTGCTCGCGCTCTGGCTGCCCGTCTCATACTCATCCCGGCTGGCTTGGCTCTGGCTAGGGGCATAAGAGTCTTTTCTCAAGTGTGAATCTTTATTATTGTTGTTATTTACTCCAGCTGTGTCAGCACTCATGCTGCTGCGAATGCTCGCGTTCTCGCTAGAGCTGAGTTCGGAGTCGGGCCCACGCCGATTTTCGACCGGGCGCAGAACAGAGGACGAAGCTCTGGCTTTGGCAGCGGCTCTCATGGCCTCGTTCGAATCCAGCTTGGCGAGCTTCCAAGCACTGATTTTAACGCCCTTTTTCGTTCCCTTTTTACCCTTATTATTGTCGTTAGCATCCGGGTCGACAGTTGATGGAACCATCCCTGGACCCAGCTGCGGAGCAACTTCTTCCTGATAAAATTTGTAATTGATTGAAAAAATTTAAGTATTAGCAATTATTTTTTTTTTTTTTTTTCATGAGTGAATCTGTCACTCGAGCAACTTAATATTACCTGGTAATCTACAAAGACCCTAGGTGGGGTGCACCATGCTCCTTTGTATTGAAGTCCCAAAGAGCTACCACCGCTAAAACCAGTAGTGGCTGATCCAGATGGAGAATACAAGATATTCGGGAGTTCTTCATCTACAGAAGCTCCAGCAGGTGCTTCACTAATGGCTCGCATTGCGACAACATATTCATAAGTTGTAATGCCCTAAAACATTGAGAAAAAGCAGCAAAGCAGGAGACTTTTAACGATTTCGGCTCGTACATCGGCGTATATTTACATGTGTACGAAAATTCACCAAGCCAAGTTTACCCATTCAATAATGTATAAATAAAATACATCTATGTGTATCGATATATGTCTGTGAGATTTGGTCTATCAATGCAAATTCATGGTA